TCGCTTACTGAATTAGCTAGAAAATTTAAGTTCAATTTAGTTCTAGCTTTAGTATATTTTATCGCTAGTGAAATTTAAATAATTTAAAATTCATTTTCAATTTAGAAACGTTCTGCGAAATTTGTCCTTCACTCCTGTTAGGCAGAAAATATCTATTCATTAACACATTCACACTTCTGTTCATTAAGACGATAAAATATGTTAATTTCTACTTTATTATGTGAATTTTTATGAACCAATTTGAAATCTGATTGTTTTCAATAACACATTTATTTTCTAGTACATTTAGGTATTTAATTTGGAATATCCAATGGCACCAACATCATATATATAACAATTCAATTATAAGGCTCAAATAGTAGGTCAGCCCGGTGTTGCCACAATATATTAACTTTTCAATTTGAGAATTATATTTGAGAATCCTGTAATTTTCCCACCATTATTCCGAACCCCACCATACCGTAACCAAAGAATACTATTGAAACTACAGTATCGTAACTGAAGAGAGCGGCCAAACCCACATTCAGCACGGAACTCGCATTCTAGATTTTTTATGCAATATAAAGGACATTTAAATTTTTTATATCTGAATAAAGTGTACTCGTATCAAAACTAAAATAAGGAGTAAGGGCGTCTACCGTCGTACTTTATTGGAGCGCCTAATGACGAGATTAACTAGAACCATGAAGTTCCTCGTGTGGGGCGTGATCACCCTAGGCTTGCTGGATCGAGACATCGTGTTCAAGGCCCCGTGTCTGTGCCGCTTGGAGGCGTTCGTTAATGTATGAGGGCTTCCCCTGAAAGATATACGCGGCTATTGTGAAGCTGATGCGTCTCGTGTTCCGTTTTGGTAAAGGTCATCAGTTTTTAGAATTGTCGCGGGTCGCCTATTTGAATAAATATGTTTTTAGCTTCAAGTAGGCAATGAAGTAGGTAGCTAGTATTGATATTTGTGTCTAGGCATCTTGTCGCGATTGAATAAAAATTCGGGTTGAATTTTATTCCTGCGCCCTTAGTAGGTTTTATCGTATGCGTCCTCCCTCGTACCAGGAGCGTCTCCTGCCCGGAGACATTGAGCGTTTAGGCAGCTCTGTCGTAATTATTAATAGTTATCCGCTCTCCCGTAACAATGTATCTGAACATATGAGCTTCATCCAATGATAATCGTAGAAATGAGGTAATTGATTGTAAATTCTGAAATAATTTTGAAGATCGGCTTTAAAATTCAAATACAGTTTGGTTGACTCAGAGAAAGGCTCATTATGGCTAGAGTTGTCGCAAATAAAGTATACTATGACATCGCTCCTGAAGCTGCAATGCAGTGAACTAACCTCGTCTTACTAGATTTTCTTTAAAAAAATGTGTTGCGCGATTGTTTAGGGTGTGTGAAAACTTTGAAATGCGTATTTTAGTTGACAAGCATTACAAAACAGCAGTGTACAAGCATTACAAAACAGCATTACAAAACAGTGTTAAAATTCAAAATGCATTTAGAATTACCAGATTCTCTTATACAAGGCGGCAGATGAAATTCAAGATTTTACTTCTGATTTATCACACTTTGAATTTATTTAAAATTGCATTTTCTCTGCTCAGAGTCTGCGAGATGGCCAGCGCAGGATCGAGTGCCAGCTGTACGCACCCTGCACCAGCTGGTGGACTGCCGGGATCAATAGAATCCATTTACCGCAGCGTGGTGGGCAACCTGCACCTGAGCCCCAAGATCATGCGGTTCGTCCTCAGCAAGGAATGCCAGGACAAGCGGGACGACGAGACCTACAGGCAGTACATGGATCGCCTGATGAAAAAAGCAGGAAAAGAACCTTTTACTTGCGAAAAATGGAAGCAAGCATTTAGCTTTAATGCAAACACTTTCGAGACGGCAAAAAATACCGACGAGCAAGACGTCACTGCCATATATTGTCTGCTCCGAAATATATACAAAATTCCTAGAGTGGGCCGCAAGTATCCTACCAAACTGTTCAATAAGTTGACGGACGTCAAAGACGGGCGAAACAAAGCCTTCCACAACCTGCAGACCGTTAACAATGACTCCAAATTCAGTGATCTGAAGGCTGCGTTGGTTGACATCATTGATGAAGCCGGAAAATTCTATTCTCTTCCCCAAGATGAGATCGATTGTGAAAAACGGGAGTTGGAGGATGAAATGGACAAGTTAGTAGCTCTGAACAAGGAGAGTATATACTACTGGTGTTCGAGGCTGTTGATGAGCGGCAAAGATGCCGTAAAACATCTCTGGGAGGACAGGCTATCCAGTGAGGAGCTTCTGGTAAACAGCAACTCCATAAAGGTCAAGCGCCGGGAAGTGTTCCACGCACCAGAGATGAAGACGAGGGCATGCGATGAGGAAGAAGTTCTTCCTTACATCAAAATTTTTGCAGCTGACGAAAAGATGATCGTGGTTACGGGCGTCGCCGGTGCCGGCAAAACAACCCTCGTCAAAAATATTGTACTGCAATTTTTCCAGCCGCCGCAAGGGGTTAACAATTACTTGAGTTCGTTTGACCAACTCATCTTCTTTGAGTGCAGGGATCGCACCAATAAAGAACTAAGTGACGTTATCAAGGAACATTTTAATGATCTGTGCAACGAACTAAGAGGTCAAATGAACGTTCTCGATGCCACTCTACGCCTTCGCGTCTTATTCATCATCGATGGCTTCGATGAAGTCAACAAAAAATCAATGATAGTCATCAACGAGATTATCAAGAAAACATGGCGCCTCAACTGTCGTGTGTTGATCACGACTCGTCCTCATGTCGTGGAGGAAAAGCTGGTGCCGTTGCTGAGACGCAACGATATCAGTTCTACTCAGTACGAGATCCTGCCGCTCACGAAGCTTGCCGAACAACTTGAATTCTTGGGGCGATATGAAGCGGCCCTGAGCGGCGGCACTCCGACTGGGGAGATGGCGAAGAGCTTCAAGTCTCTCAGGGAAGATGTCAGAAGTCAATTCTGTGAACCCATCAACTTGGTTCATTTCTGTGAGATACATAAGCATCTCCCTGAGGCCATATCCTCGTGGCAGACGCCCGGGGACGTGGCGCCATCCATTCTTCGCTTGTATAAACAAAACATCCTGTCAAAACTAGCAGATTCGGCCTGCAGCGCAACTGAAGTCTTGGTTGCCGACCTGTTTGATACAATCGGTCGTGAGGCGTTGGAGTTGCTGCGTGATAACAGCGTGACATTTTCAGGAAAGGAGCTCCTTGCATTGAAGCAAAAGTGCCAGAAAAAAATAGATGCTACTGGGAAATTGGACTCGGAAATTTTCCTTTCAGTTCTACTGAAGGAGCAAAAGCCTCTATTTAAGGGAGGTGACAAGAGTTATGCCTTCCCACACAAGACGGTGCAAGAGATCGTCGCTGCAGACCACGTCGTGCAGCGCATTCTGGCCGGCGACGACTCCTTCGACTGCATCCTGAGAGCCACGGCAGAGGAAATACCACGGTAAGCAGACAATATGAAATATAAATGATGTCGTTTCTACATTATTTTTATTTTTAAATATTTTTCCTTTTCCTACATTTACGTTAATTTTTGTTTCCGTTATTTAGCTATTGTATTTACACTTCTACGCAATATTGTATTTACCCTCCTACGTACAATTCTATATTTACCCTTCTACTTATTATTGTATTTTGCTTCTAGCTTACTATTGCATTTGCGCTCCTATTTACGCTCCTATGTATTTACCTTCCTAGTTAATATTATATTTACTCTTCTACATGCTATTGAATATAGCCTCCTAATTACAAACGCATTACTCTCTCACATACTATCGTATATACCCTCCTACTTACAGATGTATTATCCTCCTACTCACAACGCTTCTACTTACTGTTGAAATTAACCTTCTACTTACTATTGTATTTAGCCTCCTACATACTATGTATTTACCCTCCTACTTTCCATTATATTTACCCTCCTACTAACTATTGTATTTTCCCTTCTACTTACTATTGTCTACCCTTCTGCTTACTGTTGTATTTGCCCTTTTACTTACTATTGTATTTACCCTCCTACTTACTGTTGTATTTACTCTTCTATTTACTATTGTATTTACCCTCATACTTGCTATTGTACTACATTCAAGTCGCTCTGATGGCATGAGCTGCATGCCGCTCTGATGGCAAGAGCTGCGTGCCACATTTATTAACATTATACAAGCAAGAAACCAAAACATGTCACAAGCTGCAGACGACGTACAGGCTTGACTCCCCAAATGAATCCCCGCCCACTTGCAATCCCCCAGGCTGAGGGAAGTGCTGCTGTACGTGGTGGCGGCCCTCAGCAGGGACAGCCCCCGTCACCTCACGCGGCGGTGGGGGGAGCTGAAGGAGGCCCTGAGGGAGGCCCGCCTCACCGTCTACGATGTGATGGACTGCGTCGCGCGCTGCCCCGACCACGCGGGGACGGTGGCCGAGCTCGCCGCCCTGGTGGAGGACAAGCAGTGGTACGTCAGGAAAGGTGGGTGACCACAACGTAACTGTACAGTTGCAGTTGCAGTTGCAGTTGCAGTTACAGTTGCAGTTGCAGTTGCAGTCGCAGTTGCAGTTGCAGTTACAGTTGCAGTTTCAGTTGCCGTTGTAGTTCCAGTTGCAGTTGCCGTTGCAGTTGCATTCGCAGTTGCAGTTGCAGTTGCAGTTACAGTTGCAGTTATAAATGCAGTTGCAGTCGCAGTTACAGTTGCAGTTGCAGTTGCATTTGCAGTTGCAATCGCAGTTGCAGCTGCAGTTACAGTTGCAGTTACAGTTGCAGTTGCATTCGCAGTCGCAGTTGCAGTCGCAGTTGCAGTTGCAGTTGCAGTCGCAGTTGCAGCTACAGTTGCAGTTGCAAATGCAGTTGCATTTGCAGTTGCAATCGCAGTTGCAGCTGCAGTTACAGTTGCAGTTGCAGTTGCAGTTGCAGTTGCAGTCGCAGTTGCAATTGCAGTTGCAGATGCAGTTGCAGTCGCAGTTGCAGGTGCAGTTACAATTTCAGTTGCAATTGATGTTGCAGTTGCAGTCGTAGTTGCAGTCGCAGTTGCAGTTGCAGTTGCATTTGCAGTTGCAGTTACAGTTGCAGTTGCAGTTGCAATCGCAGCTGCAGCTGCAGTTACAGTTGCAGTTGCAGTTACAGTTGCAGTTGCAGTCGCAGTTGCAGTTGCAGATGCAGTTGCAGTCGCAGTTGCAGTTGCAGTTGCAATTGCAGTTGCAATTGCAGTTGCAGTTGCAGTCGTAGTTGCAGTCGCAGTTACAGTTGCAGTTGCATTCGCATTTGCAGTTGTAATCGCAGTTGCAGCTGCAGTTACAGTTGCAGTTACAGTTGCAGTTGCAGTTGCAGCCGCAGTTGCAGTTGCAGTTGCAGCTGCAGTTACAGTTGCAGTTACAGTTGCAGTTGCAGTTGCAGCCGCAGTTGCAGTTGCAGCTGCAGTTACAGTTGCAGTTGCAGTTGCAGTTGCAGTTGCAATTGCAGTTGCAGTTAAACCTACAGTTACATGCACAGATACAGTACAGGTACAGTACAGGTACAGTACAGGTACAGTACAGGTACAGTTCAGGTACAGTACAGGTACAGTACAGGTACAGTACAGGTACAGTATCATGCCTCACGTAAGTTCCAGTCTCGTATCGTGGATGCAACTCGCATGCCTCAGCTGCTTCGGGATTTATCTCGTAGCTTCACGGCAGAAGAGGATTTGCTTGAGCAGTTTAATCGGTACAAGCGATGTCCACTCGATTAAATTAATCCAATTATAACTTGATACCCGAGCGAGTGGATTACTGAGGTCGGGGGGTTACGGTGCTACGCCGGCATTCGTTTTCATCTGTTGCCCAAAAAGCGGCGCATGCCGTTATCAGCGACGAGCTAAGCAGAACGACTTGATCATAATTTTGCAAGATTCAGATGAGTTACTTTATAGTGAAGTATCGTAGGCGCAGTGAAGTGATCGCTCGTGCATGTGTATCTTGGTGAGTGATTCTGGTGACTATATATAGCCGTATTAGGTGTCCCTAACCTGGGTACCATGGTGTGTGAACCTGGAGACAATATATAGCCGTATTAAGTGTACGGCGACTGCGAACACTTCCGAGCTGCCCCATCGTACACGTAAGTACCTCAAGTACTTCAATAGCGTAAGCGCTGGTGCACTTTTAAAAGAAGGTTTATATTGATCGAATATTTTTAAAATTAGCATTACTGCAACCATCTGCTGTAATATCCCAAATTTCATCATCGTTTTCGCATGCTAATTGTTCTCCTGATATTGTTAAATACGACGCCTGCCACTCACGCTCATTTAGGAGCAAGATCAAGTTCCCTTTAATTAACGCCGTCATGAACTTGCAGCGCTTCTACCCAGAATATTTATCACGTCAGAATAGTGTATATGGGGGATTTTGGAGCACGTATCCAGGATACTTATCGTGTCGAGGTATTGTATATAGGGGCTGTTGGGGCACGTATCCTGGATACTTATCGTGTTGGGATATTATATACAGGCGCTTTTGTGACGCGTATCCAGGATACTTATCGTGTCGGGGTATTGTATATAGGTGCTGTTAGGGGCACGTATCCAGGATACTTATCGTGTCGGGATATTGTATATAGGGGCTGTAGGGGTGCGTATCCAGGATACTTATTGTGTCGGGATATTGTATATAGGGCCTGTTGGGGAGCGTATCCAGGATACTTATCGTGTCGGGATATTGTATATAGGGGCTGTTGGGGCGCGTATCCAAGATACTTCTCTAGCTCGATGATTACGAGGATGAAATAAATCTCTTCTGTGCAGGACGCTTGCTCCATGAAAAGAGAAGCTCTATGCCGTCGTAATTCGTCTTCGGATCACTGCACCGACCATCAGTTTGGTCACACCACTACGGCCGGATGACTCAACCTCCAACAAGGAACTTGCCGCAGTCAGAACGTTCGGCTTAAATAGGCCCGCCGGTATACCGCGCAACCCGCATTAGACTTTTCCTAGACGGCACTCGTTCCTCCCCTATTACGTACTCCTCGTGCATCCTATCAGATCCTATAATCCTCACCTCCTAATAATCATTATTTTTATGTATAATTTATATTCTTATTCATATTCAGATTTGTTGGTCATCCTGAACCAGTTTGCGCGGCAAAGGGGCGTATCAGTGCTACGTCCGCTCTCTGCTCATGCTGTGAGTAAGAAAGTGGACCAGTAATTGGACAATGTGACCCATTCATTTATCTGAGTGAGAGTTCGGTGATTGCGTCTCGTCCTGCGATCGCCGCCCCTGAGCAGCGTGCGCCCGTCGCGCCAGTTCGCGGCACCAAGAAATGCCCCCAAATGCTGGACAGATTCTGATGAAACTTTGCGTGCGAACTCGTGGAGATCGTGATCGTAAAACTTGATCGTTGTCCTGCAATTTGTTTTACATTACGATTTCTCCCGCAAAATATTTCCTCAGTGGTTACAGTTCAGAGTACCAAGATTGGAGCAGAGAGGCGCGGGTTCGATCCCAGCTCTGTGCGCCAGTTTCTGGTCAGAATCCGCAAGAAGGCCGGGCGGTTAAGCACAGCAGAATTGTAGCAGTGAGTTGCGATTTCGATACCGCAAAATGCTATGAATGTTTTGCGATGTCGAGAATCGGCGACAGGCCTACGGCCTATTAAACGCTGAAACCGCTATACATATATTCAGAAGCAGCTGAAATAAAAATGGTTTATCTGAAAATAGCAAACTTTTGGCTTGATTTTCGAATTAATACAGATATATTTATAATACTCATCTATGAGGTCCACGTCACTATATATTTTTTAAAAGAATCATTAAAGCATAGACCAGTATAGCCACCTGAATGGAGTTAGAATTGGAAATTATATGACATAACACGAGCAGGTTTCCTGAAGCAGGTACGCAAAGTTTCATCAAAATATATTCGGATTTTTAGTAAATCGTCTCGATCGCTGAGAAATGGGCGCGTTTCTCCAGAACAAAAAATAAAACTCATAGGCATGTCTAAACCTGTAAAGCCTCAAAGCATTAGTACACCTAAATCGCAAATTCCCCATGAATTCAAACGCAAAGACAAGCAAATTCATCATATCTTCATATTGATCAAATTTTCGCCGCAAACGTTGACAATTATTCATCAGATGATGGAGCTGGTCTCCAGTATTATTCTGCCAAAGATACGGTGAATTTACTTGGCATTTTCTCTACTTATAAATTTTCGACCAGACTAGCCTGTCCGAGGTCGCGGATGTCAATCAAATTTTTTTTAAACGCGACAGAAAATCTGAGACGCGACGCTGTAGGATACGCACTTATTCTAGACTGGGCTAGTAGGAGTGTGTAGAAAGGATGAATACACGGTAACAGGAGGAGGGAATTTACGGTTATTAAAGTAGGAAATTGAAGGAAAGAATGTACAGAAATTAAAGTAGCAAATGTACATTAATTGGAAAAAAATAATTCACGGTATTTAAGGCTGGCAATGTACGGTGATTGGAGGGAAGAATGACGGAAAATGAAGTAGTTAATACATGTTAATTGCAATGCAATTGAATGCAATTAATAGTAATGAAAAGCGGCTACTCACGTTGGGTAAATTGAGATGGGAACAGAGAATTGAAAATATTATTTGTTTATTGATAGAAGCAGCAGGCGATTAGACGGCTATTGCGACAGCGGCGCACCGGAAACAATTGCAGTATTTATTTGGGTTGAATTTACAAGAAGAACAAAATTGGGTCAAAGTTCAGTGGCGGCGCAGTAGGATTTTACCGCCGCGGTCAACAAGCGAAGCCGTCGAGCTGTGGGCATACAAACGAGCCTTGATTTAATGCAAAAAACTAACTCTCAAATCTGGGCATGGAAACGAGATGAAGTCTGTCCATATAGGAAATGAAGGCATTTAATCGAAGCATTCATCTTTAGTTAAATTAAATGCAATATGCCTTGAATTTACAATACCAGGGATCTGAGCCGCAGCAAGGCCCCCTGCACGCCGCGCTGTTATCTTCAAGGCCGCGATAAGCTGATAGAAGAAGGGGCGCGTTGTTCTGGGACTTGTTGAGCCAATTTATTTTCTCTGCAATAATATTGAACAATTTATAAATTTCAACTTGGTAATGAGCGCTAAACAAATCAGCTGATGCGTTAACCCAATTACTCTGGAAACCTTGCTAAAGTTGAAAGGGTTGGAATGAAAATCTTATCAAATATCCAAAAATGAATCAGTTCGCTCCTCTACATATCATTGACCGTGGAAAGAAAGTGAAATCTGGAAACAAACTCTTCGTGAAAAAATATTCTGCATGAATAGAGAAGCACGTGATGGATACTAGGCTTCGTGCACCAGGAATAGAAATAAGATAAATGAATATGATATTGAAAAATATGAATTTAAAAAATAATTCTTGAAATCAAATAACGATAGTAATTTTCAGCACAGCCGCTTCCAAACATTTTCTTCATATCAGCAATCCATTCCTTTCTTCACCTTCCTCCAATCCTCTCTTCCGTCACCTCCGCTCCTTTGCTCCCTTTCCTCCAATCCTTTTATATTCTCTAAAAATGAATAAATTTTTAGGTCTAGGCAACATCACGACACGATAAGTATCCTGGATACGCGCTGTTAAAGCGCAACATTCCTAGTTACTTCTAAGCCGACGAGCACAGACAAATGTTACCTGTACGGACTCGATTAGAAACGATCTGTCTGTCAGCTGAATAGTTTAAGTATGCCGATCCTCCAGTAATTTGGTAAGACTTGATTATTAGCTGTATAATTAGTTTGATTTACTGATGAATATGAATTTTGTCATTATCTTTGTTACTTTCTATTATCTGTTTTTTTTGTATTGATTTTCAGAAACCGGTTAAAAACTATCACGAAACCGCGTGTCAGTTACTGTCCTCCACGATTCTTAAAGATCTGCTAGAAGGATCTTTACACGCGCCCCAACAGCCCCTATATACAATATCTCGACACGATAAGTATCCTGGATACGCGCCCCAACAGCGCCTATATACAATATCCCGACACGATAAGTATCCTGGATACGCGCCCCAACAGCACCTATATACAATATTCCGGCATAAAAGTATCCTGGATACGCGCCACGACAGCCCATTCCATGGATTACAAACAAATCACAAAAAAATATAAGATAAACTACAGGCTGACACTAAACACAATCGGGTTGCTAAGGAGCCTCCACTGGCTGAATGTACGTTGCTGACAGATCTTTGAAATATACGTTGAAATAGGAATTTGTTTTAATGTGCCATAATCTTCATAGTTCGGCACGGAGAAGTAAGGCACGGCAGTCCAGCAGGCTACCGCATTTTTTTGAAATTCTAAACACCCGCTTTGAATTCTCGTAGTTGCTGGAGTCAATTCGTATTTCTGTATTCATATGATCTAAAAAATTCGGCCATGAGTTTTTAGCTGTAACAAATACTGATAGTTTCATGGATCAGGAATGAAATTACTCAGTGCTTATTGGAAATAGTAACGCGAAGACATGGCAACTGCTGGCAGGTTACTTGCCATCTCACCAGAGATACTCACCACCCGGCGGGGGGGGGACGCTATCTGCCGCCTCTTATCTCGGTTATCAGCGCATCTTCTGACGCTCGTCTTGCACAGCAGCTTGTTGAGCAGTGCTGTGCTGTGCAATGTAGTGTCGTGGGCTGCGGTCGGTGCGGTGCAGTGAAGTGCAGTGGAGTGGCAATACTTAAGGTACACTGCAGTAAAGTGTCATCACTGCCTTACACGATGCAGTGTCATCACTGCGTACACGGTGCAGTGTCATCACTGCGTACACGGTGCAGTGTCATCACTGCGTACACGGTGCAGTGTCATCACTGCGTACACGGTGCAGTGTCATCACTGCGTACACGGTGCAGTGCCATCACTGCGTATATTTTGCAGTATCTTGTAGCTTTTACAACATAAAGATCACTCGTAAAACTAAGAGCAATGCCGTCGTTTATTCAGTTACCTGCCTTCAAAATTCAAAATTGTCCGTATTTGACATTA